TCCAACCCTACCCTGGTGTCGCCAGATAAACTGGAAGAACTGCTGGACGAATATAAGGAGGTTTTTGAGCCCTTAATGGGCCGCGGACCGGATCTCGGCACTGGCCACACAATCGAGCTAGAACCTGGCAAAAAGCCACCGTACTCCGACCGTACCGACTTTCCCAGTTCCCGGAGTTAAAAAAGCAGCTCGCGGACTTACTGGCCAAAGGCTTCATCGAGGAATCAAAATCGCCCTTCGGCACGCCCATACTCTTCACACAAAAGAAGGACGGCTCGCTGTGCATGTGCCTCGACTTCCGCGCCCTCAACAAAATCACCGTAAAAAACCGGTATCCACTTCCAAACATCACCGACCTCCTCAACAAACTTCAGGGTGCGAACATATTCTCGAGGAGGACATCCCCAAAACCAGCTTCATAACACCGTTCGGGACGTTCCAGTACAAAGTACTGTGCTTCGGGTTTTCGAGGCCTTCTGCAGACGCAAAAATACTGAACGAAGTACAAAAATACTTCAGGTTTTTGGCAGCAACGCGCCACCCCCACCTGCGATTCCCGCAGCTGAGCTGTGGACGAGATCCACGCCCACCGGCAGTCTCGCAGCAGGCGCCGCATCACCACGGAGTACCTCGTCAGGTGGCACAAACTGGGCCCCGAGTACGACTCCTGGGAGTCCGCAAAGGACTGCAACCAAGGATGCCCAGAGGCAATCCGCGCTTACCATGGGAAACTGTACGCAAAAGGCGTACCTCTACCCTAAACATCCACCTCACTCAAGGCGCCCCGAGGACGGGTTCGCATTCAAGAGGGGGGAAATGTAACGCCGCTAAGGCGGCCCTTGGCTCACCGGGCCAACGGTCATCGTACCAACGGTACATTCAAGAACTATTCATAATCTTCCAATACCAAACGGTATTTATCAATACCACCTTTTTATCGTTGGATATTTCCCTTCGTAACTGCTTCGCCAACTGCCGAGCTTTGTTACAGCGGCTGTATGATACAGGTCCCAGCGTGCTGAAGTACGGAGGCTTCGGATCATCAAGTGTCAGTCAGCTTCATAGAATTTTCCATAGTTTCCCAAAACTGCTTGAGGGCTGCTATAACGCTTTTGTTGACCTCCGTCTGGGCCAAGCTGTGCTCATGTAGTGGGGGTGCTCACGTGAGGCAATGTGTTAGTCTAACATCGCCTGTACAAATCGCAACAATGGGTCCCAAGAAGCGGCCTTCTGAGGGTGCGGCGTCATGCGCCTCGTCCTAGAATCTCCAGGGCGGCTTTTGAGACTACGTATGCTGGCTGGCTGTCCAAAGGCCTTGATGGTGATGCTATACTGTCAAACACGACGAAGCTGGAGCTGCCTTATGATGAGGTCAAAGATATTATCTTCCCAAAAGTGTTCAAGGATGTCATCTCAAGTGCATGTGCAATCCAGCCTCTGAGCCAAGAGCGGCCCAAGTACATTATCTTCTTGGAGCTGCTCAAGAACCTGCTGTCATCCAA